AAACGGAGAAGAAAACTGTATATAACCCAAAAGTTTGTAACAGTACGTGGAACAATACTTCGGTTTTGTTGTTTCTTGCGGGAAACAAGACTTCGGCTTTATTGTTCTTTGCATGCAATAAACTCATCTGTTTTACTTCATCTCGGGATCAAGAACCTTATTTCTTCTGTTACAACACCATACTACAAAAAATAGTTATTTCTTTGACAAACACAGAATCCAACAAGTTTGTTGGCTACACTGCTCTTTCTGTCTTTCAGTCACTGCATTTTATACTATACATGTACACTATACTGTACACCATTTCCAGCTGGATTTTATGGGAGGGATGTCTAGATGTCAAGACAAGAAATTATTTAAGGTCTGAAGCAAAAGGAATGATCTACAGTACATTAATAGAAGAAGGTACCTCATTAATGCGACAAAAGTAAAGATCTGTTCAATTCATATGTCAATTTGATTTGTCACAAGTCTGCTTGTAATAGTAAATAAAGTATACTTTGCATCTATGATAGACAGTTTTGAATGTATATTTATATTATAATGTATAAAGTTTTTATCCTGCTTTAGACCCAGTATTTAATATTATCAGTGCTATATTTCCACACAGGTTCTGCTTTCGATGTCAAGGCATATTCGCTTTACTCATCTTTTAGCATTTTGTTTCACTTTTACTAATGCATATTTACAGAAATGTTCACTATGATTTTGTTACATTAGCCCTTTTTCTTCTGTGTCTTGACTCCTAGAGAGTTAAACATTCCCTCCAAATGTGACTAACTATTTTGATGATTAATTGTGTGTTTGATGTGGGGGGGAAAGCACAGTCAGCCACCCATAACATCCATTACAAATGTTATTATGTACTAATTAAATAGAGCAGTTACATCTTCAACCCTGGAGAGACACAATCAAGCAGGTTAGAGGGGTTGCTATTACATCGCCAAAAATGAGTGTTAATGGCTTGTGTGATGGCTCTGTGGCTAAGGATCTGCTCCTGTGCCTTGAAGATTGCTGGTTCAAGTCCTGTGGCTGGCAGAGGAATCCTACTCCATTGGGCCCCTGAGCAAGGCTCTTAATGCTGACCCCAACCTTCTCTCCCTGTCTGTTTGTCCCCTGGAGAGCAAGTTGGGGTATGTGAGAAGACAAATTCCTTAATACAAGAAATTGTATATGGCCAATAAAGTGATCTTAATATTGTTCTCATTGTGAACAATTAAAAAATTGATTTCTCACAGTAAGTAATATATTGCAGATATACAGTAATACTAGACATACTTTATGATACTGGATAAGACTTCAAGGACTGGAGTTCTCTTCATTTAATTTATTATTTCCATAAAGTATATTTACTTTCGTAAATATCTTTACGAAAGATATTTCGTAAAGATATTTCGTTTTTTTAGGAAAAACTACTTTTCCTAAAACCAAAAATCCCACCTGTAGTCTCAGATTTCAGGTCTGATGATGTCCTTAGTCCTCAGACTGAAATAATCCACTCTGTGGTTACCAAAACGGACTCTTAGATATCAACGCTCTCCTGCTGATGGGGTTCCCAAGCAACAGGTGAAGGTTCCTGGCCTCATGGAGCTTTCAGGGAACCTGGGTTATACAATACGTGTAAAAGTCTGTTTTTCAAATTACAAAGTATAAGCCTTCTCCTTCTGTAATTCTACACCCGGGCCATATTGTTGCAGTATATTGAAATATTGTGCATAATACTTTTCAGACTTTTTCACACAGTTGTATTATACTTCATAAAATATGGTTTTAAAATGTTGTTTTTTAATATTTTTTTTCCACAAAGAGACAATCATCCAGTAGGTCTAATGTGGACACCTTAATGGTACAGTTAACAAAAAACCAAAACTCTACTTTTACACATTTTAGTGTAATATCAATCCTAAATTAGATTTAAACCTATTCATTAGGCTTGCAGCACAATTGTTTCACTTTAACTGTAATATTAGCATTTGTGTTTTTCTAAACACAGATCATTGAGGTCATGCTGTGTTTGCCATTTGAGCTCTTATTGCCTCTGTCAGCATTTAGAATTTACCGGCTTTTGATTCCCAGAGAGATAAATATTGCCGCCAGATGGAAATAACAATAATGATGAAATGTGTCTGAGTGGAGAGGTGAAAGCACTCCAAGTCATCAGGCCATGACAGCTTATCTTGTGCAAAGATCAAACACTGGATTTATTCTACTACAAGCTCACAGGGATAGCGGAGCAGAGCAGTCCTACACTGAGACTTAGGCTGTAAACAGGGCCCTCCTGACCATTAAAAAAGTTATCAAACAAAACAGCTTTGGTTGTCTCAAAGTATTAATTCAATGCATGTGTTGGGAGTCACAAAACAAAGCTATCAAGAAAAAGGAAATCATGTGCAAAATCCTGAAAAGGAGATTAGAACCGTTTAAATAACTGAATGAAATAATATTTCACTAAAAACTGACATGACAGTAGTGGTTATTCTCAAAATCTTTTTTATTTAAAATTTAGGATCTAAGACACAAGGAAAGATCATGAAGCCAATGCAGAATACAAAAAGGAGGCAGGCATATGGAATGTTTCTGCTAAAAGCAATCAATTCCATTTACTACTTGTGCTTAAGCTAAAAGGACTTTAAATTAACAAAACTTTGGTGGAAACTTATTTTAAAAAGTCACCACAGTGCACAGTGTATTGTATGCATTGTTACAGTGTGAAAGTAATATATTACCTTTCAAAAAACATTTTCAGTGAAGTAACTTTATCCAACACTCTAGGAGGCAGATGTGTATCCTGCACACTAACTCCCACTACAGCCTACTCAGATCCGTCTGAGAGGCCATCCCATCCATTTTCTAACAACTTTATCCAGTATAGGGTCACAGGGAAGCTGGAGGCACTCCAGGATCCAGGGGCTCTTGTTAAGATCAATGGCATAATGAATTCCACTAAGTACCAGGATATTTTAGCCCAACACCTGGCTGCCTCTGCCAGGAGGTTGAGACTTGGCCATAGATGGATCTTTCAACAAGACAATGA